TGCCAGCCTTCTGTTGCTTGGGCAATCCTCTGGGGTGGAGTGGCTGGATGGCCGGAGGCCCCCCCACTGTGTTCCTGGGCGTCTGGCTGAGGAGGCTATGGAACTTGGGGAGGAGGGCGGTTGGTTACACAGGGGCTGCAGTGGCGGTCTGTGCTCCAGCTGCCTTTCCTGCAGCTCAACCATTCGCTGGAGCATATTAGTTTGATCCTCTAGCAGCCTCAGCATTGAATCCTGCCTCCTGTCATCACGCTGTCGCCACCTATCATCTTCAGCCCTCTCTTCAGCCCGCCACCTCTCCTCATGTTCATGTTGTGCTTTCCTGCACTCTGACATTGTCTGCCTCCATGCATTCGTCTGTGCTCTGTCAGTGTGGGAGGACAGCATGAGGTCAGAGAACATTTCATCGCGACTGCGTTTTTTTTGCCTTCTAATCTTCGCTAGCCTCTGGGAAGGAGAAGATACTGTGATCCTTGAAACATATGCAGCTGGTGGAGGAAAAAAAAGGGAGAGTGGTTTTTAAAAACACACATTTTATAGAAGAATGGGTACATTTTCACAGAAAACTTTGCTGATAACATTACATACATAGCACATGTGCTTTCATTACAGGGTCGCATTTTGCCTCCCCCCACCACGTGGCTCATCCCTCCCCCACCGCATGGCTAACGGCTGAACAGAAATGTTCCCTGCCACAGACAAACAGCCTAGCAGGAATGGGCACCTCTGAATGTCCCCTTAAGAAAAGCACCCTATTTCAACCAGGTGACCATGACTGATATCTCTCTCCTGAGGATAACACAGAGATAAAGAATGGATGTTGTTTGAACGGCAGCAAACACCGGGACCACATGCTGCCATGCTTTCTTATGCAATGATTCCAGACTATGTGCTCCTTGCCTGGCGTGGTAAAGTGTCCTACCATGGTGGACAGAATAAGGCTGCCCTCCCCAGAAACCTTTTGCAAAGGCTTTCGGAGTACATCCAGGAGAGCTGTATGGAGATGTTCCTGGAGGATTTCCACTCCATCCCCAGACACATTAACAGACTTTTCCAGTAGCTGTGCTGGCCGCGAATGCCAGGGCAAATGAATCATTAAACACGCTTGCTTTTAAACCATGTATACTATTTAAAAAGGTACACTCACCAGAGGTCCCTTCTCCGCCTGGCAGGTCCAGGAGGCAGTCTTGGGTGGGTTCGGGGGTACTTCCAGGGTGAGAAACAGTTCCTGGCTGTCGGGAAAACTGGTTTCTCCGCTTGCTTGCTGTGAGCTATCTACAACCTCGCCATCATCCTCTTCCTTGTCCCCAAAACCTGCTTCCGTGTTGCCTCCCACTGCATTGACGGAGTCAAAGCACAGGGTTGGGGTCGTGGTGGCTGAACCCCCTAAAATGGCATGCAGCTCATCATAGAAGCGGCATGTTTGGGGCTCTGACCCGGAGCGGCCGTTTGCCTCTGGTTTTCTGGTAGGCTTGCCTCAGCTCCTTAAGTTTCACGCGGCTCTGCTTCTGGTCCCTGTTATGGCCTCTGTCCTTCATTCCCTGGGAGATTTTTACAAAAGTTTTGGCATTTCAAAAACTGGAATGGAGTTCTGATAACACTGATTCGTCTCCCCATACAGCGATCAGATCACGTACCTCCCGTTCGGTCCATGCTGGAGCTCTTTTGTGATTCTGGGATTCCATCATGGTCACCTCTGCTGATGAGCTCTGCACTCACCTGCAGCTTGCCATCCTGGCCAAACTGGAAATGAGATTCAAAAGTTCGCAGACCTTTTCCTGTCTACCTGGCCAGTGCATCTGAGTTGAGAGCGCTGTCCAGAGCGGTCACAATGGAGCACTCTGGGATAGCTCCCGGAGGCCTATACCGTCGAGTTGCATCCACACTACCCCAAATTCGACCCGGCAAGGCTGATTTCAGCGCTAATCCCCTTGTCGGGGGTGAGTAAAGAAATCTATTTTAAGAGCCCTTTAAGTTGGAAAAAAAGGGCTTCGTTGTGTGGACGGGTGCAGGGTTAAATCAATTTAACGCTCCTAAATTCGACCTCAACTCCTAGTGTAGACCAGGCCTTACTGGAGAATAACTTAATGTGGGTCTATTTGCCAGTTACAACCATTACCACCAGTGGTTTGTTGGGGTGTGACCATTTTGCTTGGGATAATCTTACAATCCTTAACCATCTTCTGACTTCTCTATCTACTATGCAGTGAGTATGGTAAACTAACAAAGTAACCGGAGGTGATGCTGCCTGTTTAAAAAAAAAAAAACAACAAAAACAAAAAACAAAAAACACCTCAGTCAGTTTCTCTCTTTTGGTTTCTCTTAAATGACAGAGAAGGTGGAACACACAGATTTTTGCAAGAGCAGCAGTTATTCTGCAGGGTTGTTCATTGTACTGGTATACTTTTCATTTTGTGCTGAAAATGAGATGAGTAAAATCTGACAGTTTATACTAAATCTAGATGAGAGAAAAGTGAAGACTATAGTCCTGGTTCATGACTTACTCCTGAGAAAACTCTGTACCAAAAAAGTAAAATTCTGCACATTTTATGTCCATAAATAAATGTGGAGGCTCCAGCAGGGCAGTGGGGAGCACAGGTCACTGGCTGCATGGAGGTGGGAGATCACCCTGCAGCCCCCTCCCCGGGTGGACTCGGTGCTGAGGCTGCACCCAACCCAGTGCAAGGGCCGGGCCTGTCCCAGAAACACCCCAGGGTCCTGCCCCTCCATGCCAGGTGCACCAAGATAACAAGCAAGAGGGACAAACTCGTATACATGCCCAGCCCTGGCCCCTGATCCAGGTGAGGAGCAGGCAGGATCCAAGTGTAAAGGGTCTTGCTGTGAGGGGATCCAGGTGTAGAGTGAGAAGGTTCTGTGTGGGGAGCTTGGTGGGGGGGGGAGGTCTGGGTGCAGTGAGGGCTCTGGATCTGGGAGTTCTGAGGGGGGGAATGAGATTCAATGGGGGGATTTGGGTATGGGGGGGTCCAGATGCGTGGGAGTTGGGCAGACAGCGGAGCAGCTCCCAGTGTACAGTGACCACTGACCCACAGCTGAGGAGTGATGAGGCAGGAATTGGGGGTAGGTACAGAGGTTTCTAGGGTGGGTCTGACCCAAACCTGGCCCTGGCTGCTCCTTGCAAGGGAAGAGGAAGTCCTGTTCTCCTCATCCAAGCTGGGACTAGCAGCTGAACCTGGTGCAGGTTAGGAGTCACCAGCCTCCTCTTCCTCCTCCTCCCCGCCCGTGATTTCTCTCTCCACCAGCTGCTCTGGGCGCCAGAAACATGTCTGTGCTGCTGGGGAGGGGTATGTGACTGCTTTTGTGGCTTCCCTGTCAGAAGTTATTTTTCTGCAGGGAAGCAAAGAAATCTGTGCAGGACATGAATTTTGCATGCACATCCCCTTAGACACCAAGATCTAATCAGAATGATGTGATTAGTGTTTAGTTTGGTTTTAGGCAGTTCATGTTTGTGGATTGTATTTGTTTCTAGTCTTAGTAGTCATTCATTTGTAGTCCTGGTAGTCTATCAATCTGATCAGTGCCATGCCTTCTCAAAGTGGTCACTGGTCTCTCTCTGACCACAGGTTTTTTTGGGGCTGCAGTCTAGGAGTGAATGTGACAAGTCTTAAGTAAAAACATATGTTACCTGGTAGGTATGACTTCCTTGTTAAGTAGTGTTTTGGTTCTATTCTTTAGCTGAATTGTCTTTCCATTAAACAGAAATATTGTGGGTTTATTTTCTACACTTGACTGTTGGGTTTGTCATGGCAATTTGTTCTTATGTTTGTTCATGGAAGCTGTTACACTTAAGCCTCATCTCACAGTTTAGCTGGCATAGCTATGTTGGTTAGAAATATGAAGAAAAAAAAAACCCCTACATGATATAACTGTGCTGCTCTAGTGTAAAAGTACTACTTATCGCAAAAAAGTTCTCTTGACAGTATAGATTGCTTTGCTTTGATTGGGGAATTGGTACAAACTATACTAGTGTAGCAAGACCTTAGTAGTACTGAAGAAGTTGTTGGTGTAGATGGAAGGAATGTTTAACTGATCTTCAGTGTGACCTGCAAAGGAAAACAATTGGATTTTTGCCTTTTATGTGATAGTTTTAACTAGTTGTTTTTAATAATAGAAATTCTGGTTCTGCCTGTACTGAAGGCCTTTGGTTACTAGAGAACAAATACAATGATGACCTCAAATGTCAGAGTGAAATCTGTGTATTTGAAAGGGTCAGGAGGATATTTAGTCAGACCATTTAAAACCTTGTTTTTGTTAAGACCTTCTTAACTTCAAAGAATAACATAGGCTTCCTCCCTCTGAAGTATGAGTCAGCATGCTGACCCTTTAGTTGAATTATGAGGTCTCATAATTCATACCGTCTTAGGCATCCAGACAATCCTCAAGCAAGCCAGGTTTGGTATTCCTGATATTTAAGGTAAAAGACAAGCAAGAGAACTCTATTGATGTGGGGAGGAGGCAGCAACTCTACAGTCTTCACAAATCATAGAGTCAAGAACGGGCATAAACCCAATTTAATCCTTTCTTGGTTACCTATAAAACACTTGTATAATGGCCAAAAGTGTCTAATTCATTATCTGAGCAGTATCGCCAATGGTGCTGGAACACTTTTTATAGTGGGGGTGCTATGAGCCATTGAACCAAACTGTAAATCCTGCATATAATGGAAACCACTTCAAGTCAGGTCTGCAGCACCCGCCCTGTACCTTTAGTTCCAGCACCTATTAATATCTCAGTCATGGTGCAGGATCCAAAAACCTTTGTTCTCATAAGATGAGAACATTTATTCATATGTTGCTATTTCACTTGCTGCTATTGTAGAGCTTGACTAACCGATTTCTACTGCATTGGGAAATTATCAGAACACTGGTATGTCTGAGAAATGTTATAGAATATCCTATGATACAAATTAGCTTTACATTTGGACTAAAATATTTCAGGGGAGAGCACAATGCCATCTCTTTTTAAGTAACTAATTTGTATTACAGATTGCCCTGAAATATGATCCACAGGCAGAAGAAGATCTACGCAATTGGATAGAAGAGGTTACGGGGCTGACCGTTGGTGCAAACTTTCAGTTGGGCTTAAAGGATGGCATAATCCTATGCGAGTAAGAAACAAATTTTCTTTTTATCTTAGTTAGTTTTGCTCTTTCCAGGTTCTAGAGAGCACTAGCTGAGGACTCCCTTTTGAATATATCACAGTTCTCAGTAATCAGAATACAGTTACTACCAGGGAAGAGTCTGCTTCCATGTCTGCTTTCTCTTCCTTGGGCTCAAGAAAGACTGAGAATTGAACCCAGATCACCGGCATTTCAACAACATTTATCAGAGATATGACACTACAGTATGAAACTGGCACATTTTTATGGATTTGTGTATGAATTAAGAGACTTATCAGATTTCTTCGAGCCTAAAATAGGCCCTTTACATAAATCTAAATCTTTTAACCATGACCAGACATGTTTTGCATCAAGTCACTACATCTATGGTAGCATGAACAATAAAGATTTTTACATAATGCCTGTACAAATAGTGTGAAAATGAGATTCACTATTTACACATTTCATTAATTTTTTCCCAGACTTATAAACAAACTGCAGCCAGGATCAGTGAAGAAAGTCAATCAATCAGAACTAAATTGGCATCAGGTAAAAAAAATAAAAAATCCCACCTCCTTTGTTTCCAGAACTGACGTGAATGGGATTTTACTGCCTCTTTACTTAAATCTTTCCAGTGGTTGATTAACTATGTGTATGAAGTCTTAAGCAAATGGGTAGACTTGGTTGTCCTCTAAATGCTACTTCAGTACAAATGTTTAATAGCAGCTTTAATTACTAGCAGAAATTTCAGGTATTAGACAAATAGCAAGACTACTTCCTTAGGAGGAAAAATTTTTAAAATGTCTGTCTTAGTTAAACTTTTAACTAGAACTTTCCACCCAGCCAAAGCTGCTAGATACCACAGTCTATGCTATATGAAGTTAACAGCCCTGTATGCCATACTGTTCAAGGTTATTGCATGAAATGTCATTCTGCAAAATAGGAATAAATACCACTGAAATCCTTTCATTACCCTTTTTTTAAGCGGTGTTGGACAAAATATTGGTATATAACTCAAAAAAAGATTAAAATGGCAAAATGCACAAGCAGTAATTGTATCTCTGATATCCAGATTAAAATTTAAATTAGGCTACAAATTTGTTCTTGTACATAAGGATTGGTCTGTCTAGTACACAAGACAAGTTATGCTTGATAGTCCCTTGTAAATGGTCTAGGACTGGTCTAAACTAAACAGCCTTAAGAACAGTTCTTCTGTCATGCCTCTGAAAGAAAAGGCCAAATTTAGTCCTTACTTATGCTCTATGCAACCCCCCTCATCCTGACTGAGACCTAGAGGCACTACCCAAAAACAACTAATAAATAGTACCTGAAGTTAGGCTGAATATGTCCCAGTGAGTCAACAGTAAGATGCACAGTAAAAACAGGTATTTCACATTTGACAGGTTATTAATGGACCAGTTTAAGTTAAGTTGGACATTAAGTGCCTTCTGAAACACACCCGTTATTCCATAATTTCTATAAATTGTAGTTCTTCCTTCAAAAAAGTATTTTGTAACACAACTCCGTGGAACTAGACTATTGGCACAGAAATTTGACTTTTTTTTGCAGGGGGAGGGGTATTATTGAAACCAGTGGCTCTCAACCTTTCCAGACTACTGTACCCCTTTCATGAGTCTGAACTGTCTTGCATACCCCCGAGTTTCACCTTGCTTACAAAATCAGACATAGGTGTGCTGTGACACATGTATTTCTATTGCTGAAAAAATTGCTTGCCTTTCTCATTTTTACAATATAATTATTAAATAAATCAACTGGAATATAAATATTGTACTTACATTTCAGTGTCTAGTATATAGAGCAGTATAAACAAATCATTGTATGAAATTTTAGTTTGTAGTGACTTCGCTTGTACTTTGTACGTAGCCTGTTGTAAAACTAGGCAAATATCTAGATGAGTTGATGTACCCCCTAGAAGACCTCAGCGTACCCCCAGAGGTATGCATATCCCTGCTTGAGAACCACTGATTTAAACTAAAACATCTCTGGGGAAAACAGACAGATGCTGTGTAGTGCCTTGTCAAAGACATCTGCTAGGGATGTCAGCCACTAGCCACTGTTGGAGACAGTGGCCAGACTAGATGGACCCCAAGTCCGATCGGGTATAGCAGTTCTGTGTACAAAACAAAAAATCCAAATGCAGAATGAATGATTGTTATGTTAAGCGTTACCGCCCATTTACTTTGCTCTATGTTTTGTCCCATCTGTATTACATCTTGGCTAAAGTCTTCAAGGCAGGGAGCTTGTCAAAGTTCCTACTGTACTTTTGAAGCTATAAATATTTTCCAAAATGAAACATTTGCCTCGACATGTTTTATTTTTCAGTTGGAGAACATTGGGAATTTTATCAAAGCCATCCAAGTCTATGGTATGAAGCCACATGATATTTTTGAAGCAAATGATCTTTATGAGAATGGGAACATGACCCAAGTTCAGACTTCACTTGTGGCACTAGCTGGTCTGGTAAGTATTTATCTACACAGAATATACTGTACCACACTGAACTGGTAGAAATCCATGCATTGGCCAGAATCATTCCTTCCACTCATAAGCATAGAACACTTGGCAGGCAAGTCCTTCTGGTATGCTGCTCTCTCCCCCAAGGGTCCTGCAGAAGCCACACTTTGGGTGCCTTGGTTTCTCCCTTGTCAAGGTAGGGGGTACAAGGATTGTGGGTAAGAGAGGGTTGGGATTATGAAAGTGCTGTCTTTAACAGCATAGTCCCCTGCTTACATGTGACAACCCAGGAAGGAGTTTGACACAGTATTAACTCATGCTAAATCTTCTCCACAACAGCTGTTGAGCAGCCACAGAGTAACTTTGCTAATGGTGGCTTGATATATACTAAAGCTATTCTTGCAGGGAGCAGAAGCCAAGAGGGTTAGCTGTCCGTACAGGACAATGTTTTTTCTGTGGACTGGGGATGTCCTAGGTCTGTGAGGTAGGAAGGTCTTGTGTGTGTTCTGAGTACAGCAGCCAAACCCCATTCACTAGAGGAGAAGTCTGAGAATGTGGAGGTTAACCTCAGAATCCTTAATATCTTTAGACCCTCCCCAGCCCATGTTTTTTTCAGGGTGAATACGACCAGTGAATCACATGTATTACTCCTTTTGAATTTCACAAGGCTATATGAATAATTACTATTGTGGTTGGCTATGTAAACAGTAGAAAAAATCCTGCCAAAGAACACTTACCTCATTGTACAGGATGACTGTAGTTGAATATTAGAAAATGTTTCTAGCAGTAAAAGATATACATACTAAATGTAAGGTTTCAGAGTAGCAGCTGTGTTAGTCTGTATTCGCAAAAAGAAAAGGAGTACTAGTGGCACCTTAGAGACTAACCAATTTATTTGAGCATCAGTTTTCGTGAGCTACAGCTCACTTCATCGGATGCATCCAGTGAAGTGAGCTGTAGCTCATGAAAGCTTATGCTCAAATAAATTGGTTAGTCTCTAAGGTGCCACTAGTACTCCTTTTCTTTATACTAAATGTAAGACTTTGTCAAGTAATACTTTCTCTTTTCAAGCAAATCAAAAACTTGCTGGCCAATATTTTAAAGAAGTGACTAATGATTTTAGGTGGTGGTTCTTTAGTTCCCATAGTGACACCTTAAAGGGACTGATTTTCAGAGTACAGAGATGTAGCACTTTCTGAAAGTCAGGCCCACATAAGGCATCTTAAATTTGGGACCCAAAAGTTGAGGCACTCAACTATTAGTCACTTTTGAAAAGCTTAGCCTGCTGTCCTTGGATGGGGTGTAATTCCTTCAAGAAGTTCTAGTGGCAAGAAGTATGATTTGAAAAGTGAGTGTTCACTTTTTGAATGACTTATTTCTACTTAGGCAAAAACCAAAGGATTCCATACCACAATTGATATTGGTGTCAAATATGCAGAAAAGCAAGCAAGGAGTTTTGATGCAGGAAAACTAAAAGCTGGCCAAAGTGTAATTGGCCTGCAGGTAAGCATGAGATTAAAGTTTTGTGTATGGTAAACCAAATTGAGAAACCATCCTCAAATGTGATAGATAATTTGCTGTTTGAAAAAGCAATTGATTGTAAAGTGGTATTCACTTAAGGGCTTGTCTGTATGAACGTTTAGTGCATGGCAAATGTAAATCTACCACACGCTAGCCTGCTATGTACGAACTGTCCATGTGGACGTTGCCGTTGCAAACTACAAGTTCTCTAGTGCACTTTGTAGTATCCAGCAGTAGGCTCGCATGAGGTAGATTTATACCACAGCTTGCTGCGTGCTGTTTATGTAGACAAGCCCTAAAATGGGTTGCTGGTTTCTCACCTAGAACAAGTTCTCTTTCTGCTGTTAGTGTGCGGTTTGTGTTCTGTCCTTGTAAACAATTGACAGGATTTCTAAAATTGAGTGACAGTCAGTGAAAGGAGTTTCTTCCTCTGCTGTAATCTCTAAATTAGGCTTAGTAGAATTAGATATTTATCAATAAATGTTAATTTCACTGTACACACACAAGTAGATAAAAAATATTTCCATTCCTACAAATGAGCAAAGAAAGAAAAATGCTGTTTGAGAACTTGAGTCCCACCTTACTGTTTATAAAACATGTTGTTTTACCAGCATTAGAAGAGCTGGAACAGGGGGTGCTGTTTAGGTAGCTTTAAACTTTTTGAATTGCAGCATCTGCTATCATTAAATAATTATTCAGTGACCCCTTTCATCTCCCCATATGTTCCTGCAACTGTGAAAATTTAAATTGGCAAAAATGAAAAAAAAAATGCATAACCTTTAATTTTACACAACTGAATATTTAAAAGCAATGATCATGCTTAAAAATAAACATTGATCTGTCAAAACTATAAAAAATAGAATTCTGCCAGGCCTAAATATTATAGGGATACAGAAGTGGGCTTAATGGTTCTTGTAAACATTGTTTCTCTATCCCAAAAAATAGTGGTTTAGAAGCAAGTTAGAAGCTTGCTGGATGCAGTGCTACTTTGAATTTTGAGGGGTCTGTTCTTTCCATTTTCTGTGCTAATCAATCAGAATAAGACAATAGCATCAAACGTTAATTTGTTGTACCACACAACTGCAAGTACAGTAGAACCTCAGTTACGAACACCTTGGGATTGGAGGTTGTTTGTAACTCTGAACAAAACATTATGGTGTTCTTTCAAAAGTTTACAACTCACTTAATACTGCTTTGAAACTTTACTATACAGAAGAAAAATGCTGCTTTTAACTATCTTAATTTAAATGAAACAAGCAATTTCTTTGCCTTGTCCATTTTTTTTAAACTTTCCCTTTTTTAGTAGTTTACATTTAACACAGCAGTGTATTTGCTTTTTTCTCTGATACTACCTGATTGCGTACTTCCGGTTCAAATGAGGTGTGTAGTTGGCTGGTCAGTTCGTAACTCAGGTATTCATAACTCTGAGGTTTTACTGTAATATGATATGAATTAGCCTTTCCATCATAGCTAAAATATGCATTAGTGCACAAAATGAAATTAGGTTTCTCTCTCTAATCAGCACCCTATTGGACATAGCCATTGAAATATGGCATTGGATTACTTGTCATTCTTTGCTCAAGAGAAGCTCAGTATCTGTTTAGAAGTGAACATTAAGGTCAATGGCCAAGCTGTAACTGCTTTCTCTATGTTAAGGTCCAACCAATACAATTGTTGTTTGGATCTCTGTTCTTGGACTAGGTCTCCTTGAGTTGCTATATCACCCTTTTTTGTGTTTTTATAAAGATGGGAACCAATAAGTGTGCCAGCCAGGCAGGTATGACTGCTTATGGGACCAGAAGGCATCTCTATGATCCAAAAATGCAAACTGATAAACCATTTGACCAGACAACAATTAGCCTACAGATGGGTACTAACAAAGGGGCCAGTCAGGTAAGCAAGGTTACATGTGATACAGTATTTCAAAATCAGCTATTGTCATGACACTGCAACACTCCAGGGGGCAGGCAGATAGGTGACAGGCTGAAGGGGTGGATCTGCATCTTGCTAAGGAAGTCTTCAGTTGAGACCTTGGGTGGGCACAATACCAGTAGTGCATCCTTGCAATGATTCAAGAGCTGAGTCTCTTGTGGGCACATGATCTACTTCCTGCTGAAAAGAACTAGAGGGAACAAAAAACAGTGCCTACAGCCAGCCCCTTTTTCTGGCTGTATTGTCAGAAAAATAAGGGGAAATTTCATTTCACATACTCACTAGCCAAAACCAAAACGAAAGACAGCTCCCTGGGCAGTATCCTGGTTGAATGTCCACCATTCCCTTTGCAACATCCAAAAGGGGGGCATGCTGGGCTTCTCAGCAGGGCCTTCCTACTAGGGGTTGTAGAGCTATAGCTTAACTTTTTTCACTGCTGTGTTTAGTAGGTGTTAACTGTTGGTCCTGTAATATTATTGTATTTTAAGTCACTTTTTCCATTCAGCTTGTACAAGTGGATGCTGTACATACAGAACTCAGTGTCAGGATTCTTAACTGAATTTTAGAGTATCCTTACCATAATGCTTACTTTATTATCCTGTTTCACTAGGCTGGGATGCTGGCACCAGGCACCAGAAGAGATATTTATGACCAGAAGCTCACATTACAGCCAGTGGACAACTCTACTATTTCACTACAAATGGGTACTAACAAAGTGGCTTCCCAGAAGGGAATGAGCGTGTATGGGCTTGGAAGACAAGTGTATGACCCGAAATATTGTGCTGCTCCAACAGAACCTGTAATTCATAATGGAAGCCAAGGAACAGGAACTAATGGGTCAGAAATCAGCGATAGTGATTATCAAGCAGAATATCCAGATGACTATCATGGCGAGTACCAGGATGACTATCAAAGAGATTACCATGGTCAGTACAGTGACCAGGGCATTGATTATTAGATCTGAACCACATGCTCAGTATATTAGTCCATTATTTTATTCAGTAAAAACAAAACTAGCCTTGTGGAATTGTTACCCGTCTTCCTACACACTATGCTTAATGTTCCTAAAGAAAGATTGCCTTACATACATTCCTTTTTCCTTTCTCTGCCTTTTCCCTCTTCTAGTTGCCTTTAGTGCTGTAACAGTTGTAATCTACAGCATAACCAATAACTGCATATGAAGTAAAAAGGAATACTGTGAAAGGGGAGTACTCTTGTACAGCCAATTCTTTTAATAAAGATCTATGCATCTTCACAATCCCCTACTTAAATAGGTATTTACACACCACATCCACCCCTCCTTTTACTTATTTAGTACTTACCTAATTTCTGCATGGAACACTGAAAAGACTTCCATGCTTATGTTAAATGCTAAAAGTTAAGCTGCAGTATATTAGTAAATAATTACTTTATTTCTGCAGTATGGTTTGCTTTTTTAAAGTCAGACAGTAGACAGGATAAATGTGCATTTGTGATTGTGTATTCATTCCATTATCTAAACTGACCAAACTCCTAGAATAGTTGTCTTACTAAAAAGGGAGCTTGTACAAAGTCCTTGAGCCCACAGAAGTCCCATGTTTTGATGGTGCATTTATTTTTATTGTATGTGCCATAATATATCCATGTAGAAATGCTTTTTCTTCCTTGAACTGTATTTATTGCCACATTTCTCATCATAAACTGATCCCATTGTATTTTTATAAATATTTTTTTCTTGAAGGTGCATGACTTTGATGTCTCATTTATTTGTTACATTACGATGCTTAGAACATTAGTTACCATAGAAATTATTCCCAAATCTTATTCTTGGCTATGTCAAGGTAATCTAGAACCCCCACAGCTCAGGAAATGTTCTGAAAAAAATTCTAGTGGATCTATGTCAGGCCAGAGTATGAAATGTTCTTTTCAACATTAGAGTCCTAGAAAGGGAGGGGGTCCCCTGCCCCTGCAGATCCCAACTGGGAGCAGCATACAGAAGAGAATACTCTCTCCAATCCCATGAGCTACTGGGTGGAGCATCTGTAGGGTTTCACTAGATGGTCCTCCCTAATGTTGAGAGCAATATTGTCTAACTACACATTCTGCAGGAATCTGCTCTGCTTACCCTCTCTTATTCCCCCTCACGCCTCTAGGTATGAAGCAGACGTCAACTTGAAACATGGAGTTTGTATTGACCCCTATGAGAATAATCTGTGGAGGGGAGAATAGCAGTTTATGATGAAAATGCAATTACAAAATCCAGAATCTTACAATTTGGGAATAGGAGAGTTCATTTCTCAACACAATGAGGAGTTGCAGAATTACAACAGAGCCTCTGGTTTGGCCTATACCCTTGACATGGCAGCATGTATATTCATACTATATCTGCTACTCAGAAGTGGTGCTTCAACTAACGCTTAACAAATTGCCAGAGCATTAAGTGTAGCATTCAAAAACTACAAGCATACGAATCTTAGGCAGCTGCCAGCAAACCAAAAAAAAAGGGCATTATTTGTGAGTGGAACAGAAGGTTGTCTCCCTCTGTGTAGACTACTGAGAAGCATCACTAAGGGTTTGTCTACACTTGAAACGCTACAGTGGCATCATTGTAGCATTTCAGTGTAGACATACTTATGACAGAAAGGCTTTGCCTGTTGTTGGTGTAGGTAATCCACCTCTTCCATCAACCTAGCACTGTCTACACCAGGGGTTAGGTTGGCCAAACTGTTGCTCAGGGCTGTGGATTTTTAAAACCCCTGAGCAAGGTAGCTGTAGACCAGGCCTATCTTATTTGCCTTCTCTAACCACTTTAACAATAGCCTAACACTAGGGCTCCCAGGGATGCTAACAAGGCTGTGCCAACATTAGCAGTGGAAGGGGGACAGTTAAAAAACTGTAGATGGGGTCTTTGATGTGAGTACTTAAAGAGTCATGCTAATAGCAAGCAGCCTGAGCTTGTGAAGGGCCCTTCCTTGAGGAAGAGAGAGAAACTGCTTGTTTGTTACAGAGTTCCTGCTGTTTGCTTTTGATATGGTTTGATATCAGACATTTTCAGCTGGCCTGATGACTCTAGCTTAGCTATTTATGTCTAACAAATCATCCTGAAGTAGCTGCTTGAGTCAACAGAATTAAAAATAACCATTTCACATATTAAGGGAGGAAAAGAACTGTCCATCAAACCTGTGAACTATATTTTTACTGCAGTTAGTTCTGTATAAGACAGCATAGGAGTTCAATCCCTATGAAAGTAATTCATCTCAGTGCCCACCTATCATGTTAAACAAAATGCTTAAAAGCAGTATTATGACTACTATGTCAGTTATGTCATATGGATTAGTTTCCTGGAGCTTGCTTTTTTTTTTTTTTTTTTTAAATAAACTTACCTTGCTCATTAGGACCACAATCCTGGTCCAGCTGAAGTCAATAGTACAGGATCAGACTCAAATACATATAATTATTTTCCCCATTATGATGCAACAGGGAACAAGTTAATTAGCATGTAATATGCAAATCACTTTCCTCAATCTATAAACACAAGTTTTCATTTTTCAGTAGTTTACGGTATCATGACTCTGAATTTAGTGGACAGTCCACACTAGGCATGAGGGAATACCCACATAGTGCTTAAAAATAAACTATAAATTTCGTACCAACTAATTGGTACATACATACAGTCACAAATGTCATTACCTGTTTTCTTAAAAGCCCATGCTTTGTGTACAATTGTATTTCAAATTCATGTACTTTGAAATACACTAAAATTGATTAATACACTAATCCTGATGTCAGTCACTTAATGCTGTAGTGTCATGCTCATGACTTCCATGTGGCAGACCTGTACATACCACACTAGTGCTGTACATCCGAAACAGACTCCAGTACAGACTCTTACCTGCAACATCCCTTCTGATTTTAAAGTTCCCCACTACGAAGTGTGAGTGCCTGTCAACTGCCAAATTTTAAAAAGACCTTTGTTCACAGGAAAGGTACTGTAAGGGCAGTGGCATTGCAGCCTTCACCACAATGTCTTAAAGCTGGTCTTAGATGAGAAGGTATGTTTTTCAAAACAGACCTTCCTTCCCTCTACCATTCTAGAAAGACTTATTGAGTCAAGGCCCTTACTCATCCAGACTCATGGAAATTCCATTTAGCAGCACGGGCCTTGCATTGAGGAAAAAGCTATTCTTCAGCAGTAACTGATACGCTCCTAACTTTGTGATTTAATTCTTAATCTGGCTCCATTATGCTCTGTAGACTGATAAAATGAAGGGAATGTTGTTATAACTTGTTTATCAATTCTTAAGATAGTCCTTTTGGAAGTGGTCTCTCTGAAGAGTTCTTTAGAAGGGAAGCCTAGCCACACGCAACAGGTTTGGTCCTGCCTCTTAATGTAGCAGATCAGAGGAATGGAGAGCCAAGACATATATCGGGATCAGATTTTACTTTTAAGAGCCTGCAAAAAATGAAACTGACCAACCTAGTTTTACAGCAACATGTAAACAGCATAAATGGTGAAAAGTAAGTAAAGGCAACGGAATATAGGACATCAAAAGACTAAAGGCATTAAGTTGGCAGTTGCACCTGACAACATTTGATATTCAAGTGCTCTAAAGTACCTTTGAAAATGATCAATTAGGCATTCTTTGAAAGATGTAGTTAAATGTATTCGGGAAGTGTATCTTTCACACAAAAGCTCATGTTCCTATTTAAATGCTTAATCTCTAGAATTGTCCTTCCTTTCCCACTTCTAACAGATGTAGCCATGGAAAGATGACACAATGCATAACATAAACCAAAAACTCAAACAATAGGAAACCATTAAAAGACATCTGTGGGAGAACATGGAGATGAAACAATGATAGAGGACTACTGTTAGCTTAGTCTGGGAATTAAATGCAATATAGCTTAACTGTCCTCCAACATATTGGAATGAGAGAAGGTAGCTAGTCAGTAATCCCTCCACACATTTTCTTAACATACTCAAGTTCTTCAGGGTAAGGAAAAATCTTTCCTTTGTAATAACACTGTACAAGTTTAAGGGACTATCCACATTATTATAAGACATGAACTGAAAATCCAGAACTTTCTTTTGAGAAGAAACGATATGTTGTTTGGTAGGATACTGAATGGCCATGGATACTTATCAGGTTTCTGAAGTCTTAAGATTTTCTGAATTTTGGTAGGGGTTAGAGCACTCAATTTTTTAAAATAGGAATGTACACAAGATAGGTAAAATGGTATCTTTTATTAAACCAACTTCTGTTGGTGGAAGGTACAAGCTTTCAAGCTAGACAGAGCTCTTCAGGTTCTGAAGAAGACCACCTCTGCACTGCTCGAAAGCTTGTACCTTCTACCAACAGAAGTTAGTCTAATAAATTACCACCTCATCCATCTTGTCTCTCATACATCCTGGGACCAATATGGCTACAACTCCACTGCAAACAACTATGGAAGATACTGTACTTAAAGATCATGTCTCCTTTTCTTTGGCTTTAAGGTCCCTGCACGGCTTTAAATTTACCATTATAAACTATACTCCAGTTTCTGACATAGCATCTTTTAAGTGGGAGGTCATAAGTTTTTTTCTATTTTTAAATTTCTTGTAAAATAAAATTTTATAAATGATTTTCTACTTTCCTATTGGTGTTTAGAAGTCTTTTCAGCAACAGAGAAACTGATTACACATAAAATGCTATTAAATGCACACAACAAACTTACATGACAGAAAAAAAAACTATCAACTTCTTTAAGTTATAGTCATACTAGGGGTTGCTTGCATCTATCATGGTCACTAAGTTTTCAGTCAAGGACTATTTTCAAGATGATCATGTACCTTTAAAATAAGTCTGTGCTGTTTAATTAGGAAGGACTCTTGAGTGGGTGAAGTACAGTACATGCTGTCCTCTGTTTGGCCTGAAGGCTGCTGATCTAACAATGAGGACATTGGGTCACAGGACTAAACCTATATGAAGTTGTCCTGACACCATCTAAAGGTAGGGTAGATACTCAAAGATAGAATACAAATGAATCATTAATGATATCTTATCAAAGATAGGTGAGAAAGTCTGTTAGCCTTTGTCTTTGCCAATTGGATAGAGCAGCTATTAGGGGCAGGCTCTCACATAGTAGGAATTCACTTCTGGGAGCCTGAAGTGAAGTAAATGAACTAATTTTAGGCCGCCTCACAAAATACCAGCATAGTTTGATATACTTCTGCTGAACATAGGTATAGACATGACTGGAGAAGCTTTCACGGTGTCTGGCTGAGGTATGTGCCACTTGGGTCATTCTCCTTTTACAGCAGAACCTCAGAATTATGATCACCAGAGTTACGAACTGACCAGTCAACCACACACATCGTTTGGAACCAGAAGTGCACAATCAGGCGGCGGTGGCAGAGAGAGAGAGAGACAGACACAAAAAGCAAATACAGTAGAGTACTGTGTTAATAGTAAACTACTAAAAAATTAAGGGAAAGCAGCATTTTTCTTCATAGTAAAGTTTCAAAGATGTATTAAATCAATGTTCAGCTGTAAACTTTTGAAAAAACAACCATAACATTTTGTTCAGAGTTACAAACATTTCAGAGTTACAAACCTCCTCCATTCCCAAGGTGTTCATAACTGTGAGGTTCTACTGTACTAAACTCTCCCAACGCTGGACCCAATTGCCCTGTCCCAAGGGAAGAACCTCAGTAGGGGGCTAAAGGGGAAGAAATCTCCACAGTATTTCCCTTGTGGAATTTTCTCCCCAGTGCATGGGTTTTCAGGCCGGGCTTGCTGCCCACATGGAAAAGGCTGCAGGGCCTGCCCCCAAACCTTAAGTTCTCCTAGGACAAGCAGGAAGCTGGGTCCATCCTCATAGAGGACCTGTGTCTCTGACCACCCCAGTAGCAGTAGGGCTTTCACAGCCAGTGGCCATCCCTGCAATCCCTTATATACAGCCTCTAGGGATGATCCCACCCACTGCATGCTCCCCTCCCCTGTATGGATCCCCAAACCTATAGAGAGTGTTAATGTCTGGCTGAAAAGGTGGGAGATAAGGAAATGCTGACACAGAAATGTCTAAGTCTCCTTTTCACATGGTGGGGGGAGGAGGGGGAAGAATCCATAGATTTCAGTGGAATGGTCTCACCAATTTTTATTAGAAGACAAGAGAATTGGCACCAATTGCCTTTGCTGCCTCTGATATTTCCTCAGTTACTAAACAAACTGTCCTCCTCCACCTCTGAGTTTGTTCTTTAGGGCAGCAAAGACAGGAACTTTCTCTTACCTGCAGAAATGTTCCAGCTCATAGACTGAAACCATCTGTACTGCCTGTATATTTCTGCTAGAGACACCTTCTGGTCTCCCACTCAATCCTGCCCTCAAACAGGAAGTTCAAGCAGCTCTGGGGAAGAAGGGGGGGGGGGAGGGGGGGCGGAAAAAAAGGATTGTGTAGCACTGAGTAAATATCGACATCAGATCTAGATCTACGTGAATTTAAAAAACTCACTATAATATCCTGATCTTTTGAAATCTTCTCCAATTTCCTCCCAAAAGAGAAAAATGGATCCATGTATCTCACAGAATGAGAAAATTTTGACCTCATGAAAATGTATGACATCCAGGACCCAAACCCAACCCCAGAGCTCAATGAAACTTCAATTGTGCATAAAAAGACATTCCCTGATGCTCTTTGAGGGTTTTATTATTATTTAAAAGTTTTTGTCTACTCCTTCAGCATCTCTTCTGGAGGCTCCTCCTCTCTCCCAGAGTCTTCTTAGGACTCCATCCTTTGTCATCTTTTCACTCGCTCCCCATGAGGTAATTTCCTTCACTCCCCAAACTACCACTTCTATGCCAGAAACGTCCACATCTACTTCTTCACCCTAATACTCAACCTCTGTCCAATCACGTCTGCCTCTCTATGCCATTTAATCCTATGATCTCAGATCAACATAAAGAGCCCAGCTTATTTTCCCTGCTTTCTATCACATACAAAATGTCTGTTCATTTTTATTTACAAACATTAGTATATCTAGAGGATTTATCCCTCATCTGCCGTGCAGAGAGGAGCCAAAGTGCTGTTCATAATTTTCCTCTATTTAAAACCATTCCTCACCAAAACCACCCATCCACCTGCACAAAAAACCCCTCCCCAAACCAAAAAACAACTGACCGACCTCCCACAAACCCCCATATCTCGTAGCCATTGTCTTGGCTGAGGGAAACTGGAGATAATTTCCTTCCAATAGCTTCAATGTTGCTCCTTAATTGGGTCTACAACGGGGGTGGGGGGTGGGGGGGGTTGGGTTATTAAGGGATATTAAATGGTCCAAATGGGAATGATCTAAAAGAACCTTCTTTACAATTCAGTGCATCAACTGACCCAGGGACTACTGGCCAATATTTTCCATATAGGTGCATACAGAATTACTGGTGGGTCACATCAGCTGACTTATCAAGAGGGTCCGATACCAAAAGGATAGCTCTTAGACTTTGTCAACTTACGGTTTTTAAGCAGCACCACAAACCTTACAGGAGATTTGTTTATTAATTCAACTTTTATAAAACATCATAAATACTTTTACATTTTTTAATAAAATCAGATATGCTGGAAAAATCCATTACTGTACATAAAAAAATTAAACAAGTAAATCTCTAATTTTTTCTTCAGTGCAAGAGGTACAAACCAGGGTTTACACATCTAAAAATTACTTTGTCCCAACGTATCTGTAACCTTCACTTTGTTTTGTCTGAATTTCTGCTATTACTGCTTAGCCTGCATGCTTTCAAGGTCAATCTCAAATTCAAGTCTACAACGGGGGGGGGAATCAAATATGTAGCACTGGCCCAGATAACTTTGTCAAAATATTTGTAAAATGTGATCTTTCAAGAAAATAAAGGGGGATTGTGCCACTCTTGTATCTGTGTATCCAGGATTTTCTTTGGTGGGGAAAATATTTTGTATTCCACTTTTGTCTTTTCAATAGGTTTTGACTAAATTCACCAAAAGTACAAAGAATGAAGACACCAAGCACAGACATTCATAATCAGAACAATAAACTTAAAACCATGAATTCTAACGGAAGAGCTTAGGTTATTTCTCTGTACAATAATGCCATGAAAAAAGTGTAAGGGCCTGAGGCCTGGTCTACACCTAAAACTTAGATCAACCTAGCTACATTGCTCAGAGCTGTAAAAAATTTCACACCCTGTGGGAGGTCAAGTCGACCTACCCCCCACGTAGATGTAGAGAGGTGAAAGGTACCATCAGCCTAGGCACCGTCTCTCAGAGGGTGGATTTGCTAGAGTGACAGAAAACCCCTTTCCATCGCTGTAGTGTCTACACTACAATGCTGCTGCAGTATTGCTGCAGCCCTGTCATTGTGCCTCTGCAGCAGTTGTAGCACAGACCTACCCTGAGTCTGCAACCTCTGAAAATAAATCAAATAAAGTCACCCAAATATATAGTTATGAGCTGGACAAAACCTTCCTACGGGTGACTGGAAGGTTTGCCTCAGTATTGTGACAGGCAGACAGAACACACAGAAACTGAGGATAGACTCAGGCAATGTCTACACTATCACTTATGTTGATCAGGGGTGTGAATAAGCCACCCACTGAGGACCATAAGTTACACCGCCCTAAGGCTGGCGTGGACAGTGCTGTGTTGGCAGCAGAGCTTCCCTTCCTGGGGGTGGATTAATTAAGTCGGTGGGAGAACTCTCTCCTGCTGGCTGTGAGTGGCTCCACTAGAGACCTTACAACCGCAGAGCTACAGCGGTACAGCGGTGCTGCTGTAAGCGCTCTAGGGTAGCCGCAGCCTGAGTGAGTGACACTGACAGGCTGAAGAAGCAGATGAAAGTGGGCGCCTCACCCTGGATGACACATGGGGAGAGGTTTTTCAGTCTGCACCTGACCCAAAAGACTGCTCTTGGTGCTGTTAGCAAAAGAAGCTGTTTCCTGCATGTTCAGAAAGACAGGACTTGGTACATTCGTTGTAAACAACCAAAACTGCATCAAAGGAACACTTGGCTTTACCAATTTGTACTCCCACCTGGAACACTCACCAGGCCCCAAACTTTGACTAGTCACTTGGGTCAAAAAGGGGCAACAATATGACTTTCTTTCTGTGCATGACACAATTTAGCAGGACGTGGAATGGGTGCTGCTGCTGCAGAACATTTATCAGCCAACCCTGGCTTTATTGAGAATTATATTTTGTGCTTGGGTGACAATCGTGCTGAGTTCTAAACACACGGAGTCAGATTCTCAGCTGATGTAAATTGTCATAGCTCCATTAAAGTCAACTGGCAACCTTTTTCTCTGAGAGCTTGTCTTCACAGCAACATAACTCGAGTTTGTACACTCAAAAAACTGCATCTGAGCTAGCCTACCTCAAGCAAGAGCAACCACACTGCAAAAAAACCATGGAGTTACAGAGTGATTTGATTAGCAGTACAGAGTGATTGGATTAACAGAGTGATTGGATTAGCTGCTAATGACTTGTAACTCAAGCTGTTACATCCCCACAACATTAGGAGCTTGAGCTTCAGCATCACTTGAGCCTCAAACTATCCCATCCCTTCCCTGCCTAAACAGGCTCGAGCATAAAGCACCATTTAAGGCTAATGTCTACACTACAAAGTTAAGTCGCTGTAATTAAACAGCAGTTGCACGTCCACACTAAGCTCCTTGTGTCGGCGGAGTATATCCACAGTAGCAACTCTTGCATTGACACAGAAAGCAGTGCACTGTGGGTAGCTATCCCACTATGTAACTGGTCGCAGGGTGTTTTTGAGAGGGTTTGCAATGTCACATGGTGGCAGGTTCAATGTCACATGGTGCAGGTTTCTCAATCCCATCATTCCGTGGGCATCCTACTAGGTTTCCAGCTGCTTTTCAACTGCCCTGGTAACCTGTGAGCCAGCCATCTGTGGCAGAACGCTTGGATCCTGCACTGCTCTTTAGTATTGTGCTGGCCTTATAACTACAAGGCTATAAGAGGAGCTCAAGGCAGGGAGCTATTCACCAACACCCTGACCCCAGCCCACTCCTTGTAGAAGCAGCATGTCTGCAGCTCCGTACCAGAGGTTACTATTTGCCTTTCTATGCCTGCCACAGCTCTTTGAACTGCTGTACGTCCCTATCGGAGCCCTTCTCCTCCACTCCCCGAGCAAGTTTCTGAGGCTGGAGCAGAGCTGCATCTGCACAGCCTCCTCTCCCCCATCCAGGAGATCCACCACCGGGTACTCAAGGCAGGGTACTGTGTGGAGCCAGCATGCTCAGGTGGGAAGTTGCTATGTGAGATCTCCACCAGGAGCAAACAGGAAGAGCAAGTTCAAAACTTCCCTGGGCTTTAACAGGTGAGGGGCGTTCACTTGTATACTAGGCTGCAGAGCAGGGGAGTTCAAAATGGTGACCAGAGCTGTCAGGGTTGGCATTGTGGGATACCTCCTGGAAGCCACTTAGGGCGACGTATGCAATGCAGTGTTTACTCTGACACTGCATCACTCTAACTATGTTGCCCTAAGCTCTATTCCTCTCATCAAGGTGGTTTTATTACATCAGCGTAGCAGGCAAGTTAAAGTGGCGGGAGGAGCACTGCAGTATGTACACTTCTAGTTAGGTTGACATAAGCTGCCTTATGTTGACAAAACTATGTAGTGTAGACATGGTCTAACTCAAGCTAGAGATCTGTGAGTGTGGATGGGAGTCTAGGGGTAACACTGAAATTATAACTTGAGTTAATTGTGCTTGAAGTCAGACCCTTAGTCTTTAAGTCTGAAACTGCATCTTGAGGGGGCATCTCCCTTCTTTCACCTCCTAATTTTTAAACAGTGTAAAGCACAATCAAACAAAAATGTCAGCTTAAACCATGGCCAGAAGTGAGAAGCTCTAGCCCACTGACTGGTATCAGCTGATCTTTCTTTCATTTGCCGGCCTAGGTTGATAATGTAGGCCCTCCCATCCAAGCATCCCAAAGTGCCTTGTACAGAAACAGGAAAATGCATCTGCTCTCTTTTCCTTTGGTGATTTTTGTTTGTTGCCTAACCCTTTTTAAGGTTGTTAATGTTTAGCTTAAGGGCCAATTGATCTGACTGTGACACGGTTCTTCCCCCAGGATCAGGCTATCCAGAATTCACACTATGAAGTTCAATATCTTGCGGGGAGTCTTGGGGTAGATGACAGGAACCCTCACACTGAGGGCAAAGTAAAACCTTAAATACCTTTAGTACAATAATGGATAAAGCTAGAATAGACCAAAGCCACATAACATGACAGAGATAATACAGGATCAGGGGATATGAGTCAACAGTGTGCCCCTGTTGCCAAGAAGGCTAACGGCATTTTGGGCTGTATAAGTAGGAGCATTGCCAGCAGATCGAGGGACATGATCATTCCCCTCTATTCTGCATAGGTGAGGCCTCATCTGGAGTACTGTGTCCAGTTTTGGGCCCCACGCTACAAGAAGGACGTGAAAAATTTGGAAAGAGTCCAGCGGAGGGCAACAAAAATTATTAGGGGGCTGGAGCACATGATTTATGAGGAGAGGCTGAGGGAACTGGGATTATTTAGTCTGCAGAAGAGAAGAATGAGGGGGGGATTTGATAGCTGCTTTCAACTACCTGAAAGGGGGTTCCAAAGAGGATGGATCTAGACTGTTCTCTGTGGTAGCAGATGACAGAACAAGGAGTAATGGTCTCAAGTTGCAGTGGGGGAAGTTTAGGTTGGATATTAGGAAAAACTTTTTCAATAGGAGGGTGGTGAAGCACTGGAATGGGTTACCTAGGGAGGTGGTGGCATCTCCTTCCTTTGAGGTTTTTAAGGTTAGGCTTGACAAAGCCCTGGCTGGATGATTTAGTTGGGGATTAGGTCCTGCTTTGAGCAGGGGGTGGACCAGATGACCTCCTGAGGTCCCTTCCAATCCTGATATTCTATGATTCTATGTACCAGATTCTCCACCACATCTGAGCACTGCTCAGTGCAGGGAATTGGGAAATCTACACTAGTCCCAGTGTGAATTAGAACAACCTAGCACTACAGTAATTTACACTTAAGGCCTTTTGAGCCTTTATGCCAATGGAGGACCAATGTGGCTGCGAGGAACCCTGGCACATGCTCTCTCTGGGCCTCTTCATCCCTCTCTATGCTTGGGATGGGAAGGGTGGTTGGCACAAAAGCCAGTTCTGCCTGCTTTATACCAGCAGAGTTCACTGCTGGCCATGCATGGCCAGAATCTGGCCCTGAGCTTCCAGTGTCAGTAACAGTGATTAGTATGAAGGGATGAAAGCCCTGGGGCTCAACAATTTGGCTGCTGCGAGAAATCACAAAGTAGAAAATAAATATTTACAGTCTATCCCCATTCTTGTAGTACACCTGGGAGACATGTTATTTGAGGTCCTCATCACATCGTCTTTGTTCCTGTTTCACCATAGGCTGTAGCTCTGTACCATCTTCATTGTTCCGGGGGGTCTTTTGCTTTCTGTTTTTCCCCCACTCTGTTAGCTTATTGCTGTGATTCACAAAACTCTACAAAGCAGAAATAGAGGATGAGGTCATCCAGAAATTTAAACTGTTATATAAATCAACAACCTGGTGAATCACTGAAAAGGAGTACAATTAACATGGAGCGTTAAACCCTTTAACTAGTTCAAGTGGATGACATTGGAAACTGGCTATGTCAGTGGGATGATTACAGCTGTTGAGGACAGGGCACTCTCTCTACAACCCCCCTTACTGGAAAGGTTCATTTCCTTCTGGCCCCAAGGGCATGGCAAGTTTGCCAGGGAGTTAAGGCCAGAGTTGGAGAGTCTGGCAGTAGGGATTAGGAAAGAAAGTAGACAGCAGTGCAGTGCAGGCAGGGAGTGGCTATAAACTGCCTTCTTGAGGCAAAAATTAAAGTTATACACATTCTGGCATTTGGCAAATAGTTTCTGGTTGATAGAAGGAGAAGTCTCTCATTTGAAGAAGGAAAAGTTTGGAGGGCCAGACTCCAAAGTTTCCACACTCAGGAATGTATCACGCTATTCATGACAGAACGTAAGCATGTGGTTAAGTGCTGTCCTGAAGTGGGGCAAAAAAACCAAACTGTCTTCTTTTGGCCAAAGGTTAAATTCATTTATAGGACGTTTGGGTGTTTAAAAAAACCCAAAAAACCCTGAATTCTGTGAATATTACAAGGAAAGTAACAACTACCATTTCAAATCAGATATTATGGCATTTTTTCTGATGAAATCCATCGAGAGCATCCATACTGTATGGGTTATTCTGGCTGCTAAATTTATTTTTCATGGACCAGTAACACTGTCTTTGTCACATGGCATGTGAGGAAAAATGCAGACCTGTCCAGAAAGCAGCATGAACAGAAAGAACATCTGTCTCTTTAACCTTCCTCTCCATATGAAAGAGAAGGTATATGTACATTTAAACATTCCACATGCCTTTGTAACTAAAGCACCTTTTACCATCACTAACTACTGAACATTTGTTTAAACGAAAGCTGTCTTCCTAATCCTTCTAATGATTCTCCATGTAACATCAGGAGTCTGACACAGGAATTCCCATGGTACAGATAAACAACCCAGTGGAAAGAGACTGATTAAGTTTGCCAGACATGGATGAGGCTTGTTCAAAATTGTAGTGTCTTCAGGGCTCACCATAGCTATCTGAACAACTGCTGAAAACTAGAAGGAACATTTCTGGATGCAAGTTAAGATACATTACATCTACATTTCTAGTTTTAGGTCTTCATGATGTAGATGGGGACTCTACATACTGGGTCACCTATTAATTTGTTAAGCACCAATAATGTATTTAACCTATGCAAAACACAAACAAAGATGGTCTTTATCCAGAGAGGCTGGGTGTAAAAGACTGAAGCAGATGCACTGGGAGACCCAATGGGAGGTGTGAACTTTATTACACAATTTGTATCCTTTTGTCCAAATCATCTAAGGAGCTGGAGAAGGCATTTATTGTAGGTTAGTTTTTAAGGGGGGGAGAGTTGGAGGAAGAGTGAATCTTAGGCACAAGAACACCACTTGATCAATACACTATTAAAACATATTACTGAATTTATCTGCCTGCTAAAGTTTCTACGTTACTGTCAAGAGTTTACCAGTAATTCTTGATCCATGAAATATGGCTTCTCTGGAGATCCATCATTTGTTTCCATATCAACAGCAAAACAAAAAAACAGGGCATCCATGACCACTTCGAATACCGACAAAAAGCTGTGGGCTACCAAGCAGGCAAAAAGTGCAACTAGCAACAGAGGAACTACCCATACATGGAACTCACGATGGTAGTTAAATGCCATTAACCCTCCAAAAACTGTGAAACATACAACAAACACCTGTATAAAGGGGAAAAAAAGGAAGCAGCTATATTACAATATGCACCAAAGCTACAGCAAATATTTTATTGGCTGATGTTTTAAAGACAATTTCTTTCATAAAGGGGAGAGAAGGCTTGAGATCAATCAATTTGAAACTATCTACCTGTTCACACAGGACACATGTGGGTACACAGATTTACTATCATTGTTATTCTTGTCCTCCCATCCATGTCCCTTCCATATGTTTGTTATACCCACTTGTCATGCCTTGTCTTAAGTTCTAAGGGGCACTAACTCTCTCTTACTATGCATTTGTACAGCATTTAGTGCAATGAGGCCTCTGGATGCTTCTGTAATACTAATGATAATAATGAAGTAAATATAATAAGCAGTGAACTAAGTTCCTCCAACAAAAATGCAAGAACCTGATTCTCCTCTCACTAAGCCCATTTTACATCAGTGTAACTCCATGACTTCAACATGACTACTCCTGATTTAATTGGTGTATGTGAAAAGAGAATCAGTCCCTAATCTTTGTCTTCATTATTACAGAATTCAGCCTATAGTTAGTCTATAATTAGGAGTTTATTCATGGACTTTGTAAATTACAGTCTCTTACCTTTCCTAGAAAAATGATGAAGTCTCCAAAGCAATTAATGAATGCTATATTAGCAGAATTCTTTGCTAAAATAAAGAGAGCATCCTTTGCTGAGGTACAAAAATTTGTCCCATTTATGGCCGTTGTGGTGTATACATGCTGAAATGAGAGAATAAAAAGATAAAGTGATTGGAAAAAAAAGTAGAAATCTTTTAATCTGGAATTTACTATAGGAAAAAGAAAGCCTTAAAATATCTTTGGAAATACTGATGTTGTGCTTGCACATACAAGAGTTATTTTGCATACTCTTGCAGTTTAACTTCAAGCAAGTATAACTATGCCTGTAACTTCAAACTGACTTTTCACATAACTTTTACGCTGGGTAAATAAGGACAAAAGTAAAATCTGTATTTCTGAAACTACCTCTTTCCAATTTCTTTTGGACCGATGAAGAGCCACCCCCATGTCCTTTGGTAATGAATAACTAATATGACATGTAAATTACAATGAAACTCGTATCTTGACATATGCCATGCTGGCAGCCTTTTCTATGTATATGCTAGCTAGAGTGTTGTAGTTGGTAAATTGTATAAGTGAAACAAAAGGTAACCCTTCTTATTACACTTTTCATATTAAAAAAATCAATGATTAAACAAGTTTTATGTGTGACCCTTTCACTTACTATTGAGCCTTTGAATTTTCATGGACCCATAACCATAAAAAATACCGCTTCACAGAAAGACAAAAGAATAATGAAAGAGTGGCAGGGAGTGTCGGGACTAGATCAGTTGGTCCTATGAGGGGAAAACTTATGTTGATTTCAGTGGAAATTGCGGGCACTCAGGATTTTCAAGTAGGTACCAAGAATTTTGCAAGATTAATATTAATTGTCTTCGGGTGGAGTTTTGCAAAGGCAGACTGGAGGATAGGCTTATAATCTACTTCTATAGGATTCTTCTAGCATTTTTCAAAATAGCTTATATCAACATAATGGATAGAAATCATCAATGAGGAGTTGAATTAGTATCTGAATAAGGAGCAGGAAAAACGTCACTCTTGATATATAAAACATAGTTATTCTATACTAGTTTTTGAGAAAAAAAGACAGATTATACAATATTAAAAACATTAGTTAAGTTTGGCATGCTCACTAAGACTAACAGCATGCAAGAGTTTTTGTGCAAAAGGAATTTGACGGCCCCACCATTTATTTAGGGATTAGAATACCTTCTGCTTTGCTTGTGAGTGAAAAAAATTCTCCGCGTCTGCTGAAGAAAATATTTATTTCTGGTCCAACTTTCCAGTTTTTCTTATTATAAATCAAAATGCAGAAATGCCCAGCACAGCTTCTATCTCCTTTACATATTCCTGCGATGCCCAGTTATGTACCATAACTTGATAACTAACATCTAGGCACCAAGTCCTGCTATAATATAAACTGATATGACAGTACCTTAAAATATTTTAAAAAGGGAATTTATAAAAGCAAATTAAGACTTTTAGTATAAATGTAGTAGCAGAATATTCATTTTATCTGATGAGACAAGGGAAATAATTTCAGTTCCTAAATCAGTGAAACTACACAGTGGGGACATGTAAGCAATGATGCTCTTTCACTGGGAAATTATTATATAGCACCAAATGTGTTCCAAGTGCTTCCACAGAGCTTAAAATAATTAATATCAAGACTGATTTCTACAGCACTGGGCAATACATACTTAAGACAGCAGAATGGACACAGTCCACTATGTGGAATGTTTGCATGAATATCTGCTTGTTCATATTATTTAAATAAGTAGGTTAGAAAAACAGACTCCTGTACTAGACAGTTTCATTTGTACTCAAGCTGCTCCTTTCCCTTGCCAGTACGGTAACAATGTCTGTGCAGGGTATAAAAATATTAGCTAACGTATCTATTAATAATAATAATAATAATAATTAGCAATACTATGGGCATAGCATGTCTTCCATCTGAAGATCTCAGTGCACTTTACAAACTTTGATGGATTTACCTAACACTGTGACACTATGTGCCTTCAGTATCATAAGCGTAAAGGCTATGTACCTGCTCCTGCTCCACTGACGTGGATGTGAGTTTTGCCATTAACTTCAACGAAAGCAGGATTGGACCCTATTTATATAATTGGCACAGTCTCTTCTCTTGAATATTAAAAGAATAGTATGCACTTTTCATTGTACAAACCCTATTTCCATCCTTCAAAAGACAAAAAAGCAGGTTTCAGCTCTGTTGGGTTGTGAATACCACCTGCATAACGATTTGTGGTTCTACAAGGCACCACAGCAGACACAGAAGCAGCAGCAGCACCATTTACTCAACACTTTGAAATCTCAAAGAACCGTATAAACATTAACTGAATCACCACAACACCCAGCAAGGCAGACAGGTAAGTAATGATGCAGTATTACAGGAGTAAAAAGAGGCACAAAGCGATTGAGTGAGTTGTCCAAGGTCACAAAAGCAGTCAGTGACTGAGGCAGGATTAGAACTCGAGAGTTCCTGGCTTTCACAGTGCAGGCTAAATCTCACAAACCAAGCTATCTCCATGCTTTGATCAAATTTATAGTTACAAAATAAAATGTATGGTTTAGAGAGCAATTCCATGCACTTTAATCACATTTTACTAGTTTATTATACAAACAATGAAATAACACATTGGTCCTACACATATAAAACCTCAATCTCACAGTTCAGGTCTCTATGGTCCTAATCCACTAAACCACTTATGTACCTGCCTAATTTTAATCATATGAACAGGCCTACTGAAATAAACAGGACTACCTGCATGCTTGACATTATGCACATTACTGGAGGGTTTTGTTGGATGGTGGCCTTAGCCACTGTGAAGAACTGGGGTCATTATGCCTGTACAATTTAAGAGTTCTGGTTGGTATTGTGAAGTTGATTTAGGAAAAACTGCTGTATCACAAGTGTCTATATGCATGTGGAGCCACCACTGCTGGCAGGTACACACCAAACTGATACAATGTGGGTGCTTAGGACTCAGTGACCATAGTCAGGTATCAGAGTAGCAGCCGTGTTAGTCTGTATTCGCAAAAAGAAAAGGAGTACTTGTGGCACCTTAGAGACTAACAAATTTATTTGAGCATAAGCTTTCGTGAGCCACAGCTCACTTCATCAGATGAAGTGCATCCGATGAAGTGAGCTGTAGCTCACGAAAGATTATGTTCAAATAAATTTGTTAGTCTCTAAGGAGCCACAAATACTCCTTTTCTAGTCAGGTACAAACACCTGGGTACAATGAGTGAGCTGCATCTTTACAAAACCAGTTTTGGCTTAATCCCCTGAAGAGTGGAAGAACGAAGGAAGGAAGGAGCAGTGGAAAGTTACCTGAAAGGTAGAACAAAGGAAGTCAGCAGGGTTTAAAAAGCAAGCCACACAGGAATATAAGAGCCAGACAGGAGGAAGAAGCAAGGGGGAGGAGAGAGTAAGGTCACCCAGCATGTAGCAGCCTCATGGGACAAAGTGCCCTGACCACTTTTCTGAGCTCAGATGGCCCCACGGCCTCTGAAAACCCATGGGACTCCGACCCCAGCCCAAAAGAATGCCCTGGAGTGATGACGAAACTAAGACAGGGACATGAATTTAGTGTTTATTATTTTATATGAGCTACACTCTAATGTTTTACGTGATCAAGTATAAAAGAGAATAAATGTGTTAGACATGCAGACTCTGTGTGCATGTTAACTGCTTCACAACCGCTGCATGCACCTTAGAGAGTTAAACTATAAACCAGAAGCTTAACCCCTTTGGGGTGGAGTTCTTGGAGAGGGTGTGTTTAACAACCATGTAGCTTGAGGGGTCACCACTGCACTCAGAGGGATTAGGCAGCTGGACAGCAAGTTCCAAATCACAAGGAGGTGCCAGATGGAAGGTCTGAGCCCTGAAAATGTGCCTAGGGACCCAGAAATGGAGAAATGGCTGGACTCCATTCATACTCCAGGGGCTTAAAACACACAGGAATCTAGAGCAAAAGAGGCTTGGATTTCCCTCAAAACAGTATTAGTGAGTGGCTGAAAAGGGGAACTTGCTAGGATCTGCGACAATCACCAGCAACCAACACAGACAGAGACAGCCAGACAGACAGACAATAGTTAAATCAGTGTCCCCAAACTGAGCAGTCAAATTAGTTACACCCCAGAAGAGCTCTCTTCCTTTTTGGACATTCACATTTACATTATGCTCAACCTAACAGCTATTTGGAAAGAGCGGCCCAAATCCTAAATCACAAGGAGCATTTCCAACATGTTACGAAATCTTAAACGTTCCACTGTTTTCTAGTTATTGGGAGTATTCACCAACTCATTTCCTTTCAGATATATTTGCTGAGTAAGAGAAGGTAAATCACAGTCAATTTAGAACTTGCTCTCATTTGGAAACAGGCAATATAAATATGTTTTTCAATAGATTTTAAACTTTTCCCTTAGCTTCTGTTTAATATACCAGTGATTTTGCATTAGCGCAGTCCTTCCGAAAGCTACAGGCAAGCAGTTATGACATCAGAGTTGCGCCATAAATCAAAGGGCCTGGGATGTCGTAGATAAGACACAACCTCACTCCTTCACTAAAAAGAGTTAATGTACCACCACCACCTTTGTGAAGAACACAGCCCTCTTTGCTTTGAAGCCTGGGAACCAGACATATTTCTCAGTATCAGGACAGATAAAGAAGGAATGTGAATGTTTACATATTTTCTAATACCACAGTATGCAAGAAAACTATTTAGAAAAACATCCTTCTATACTTCACAACACAGAATGTCAAGGGTCTTGGAAAAACTGACATGCTAGCTTCAAGAGAAAAGCACTGTGGCAGAGATCCAGGCTGTAAATTCCCTGTTTGTTGAGAATAATTGCTACTTTGCGTAACAGCTGAATGCAGTCCTCCATTGAAGGACTGGCTATAACGAAATGAGCTCAGTGAAAAAGAATTGCCATCACAACAGAGTCATCTTAAAAAAGAAGCCAAAACCAAGCTGTTCAGATATCCCACTTCAGCTTCTTCTGCCCAGCCTGGCCTGATTTTCTCCTTGCTGCAATAAAGCCACAGAGTCAAGAGGGCTGGCCTGAAATGTGGTGGATCTGAGTTTGAATCCTGCGTGCCATAGAGACATGCTCAG